AGTCCTCTGTACTGGGTGTTTGGGAAGAGTTGGTGTTTTGCCGCTAAGAAGGCCAGTCTCCGTGCTTGGATCCTCTCTAGCGCTTTTCCTGACACTTCCAACAGTTGGATAAGTCTGTAGGATCGGGGGAGTGAGTAGTCTCTGCCTGGTTTCTGCAGTGCTACCACGATGGATGTTCTCCATGCTTTAGGGTGGTAACCCAAGTCAGCGCAGAGTCTCAGTAGGTGGAAGATTTCATCTTCCATTACGTCCCAGGCCCATCTCCATGCATGGCCCATCAGGCCTGAGATACCTGGGGCGTTTAGTTGGGCAGCAGTGAATATGGAGTTGCGGACTTCACCCTTCGTCACACTTACATATTCCATGTCGTCATTGTGCAGGGTCAGGTTGATACTTGGGGAGTGTGGTAGTGATGGTGGTTGGGGGAAGAGGTTTTCATGGAGTATGTTACATTTTTCTTTATGGCTGACTGCAAGTTGGTCTGTTCTGTTTAGGATGGGGGGTGAAATGTATGTTCTTTGGCTTTTTGTCCACTTGCAGAAGTCCCACAGGTTGCCATGATTGGCTTCCTCTGTGAGTTTGCGGTAGTGAGCCTGTTTGGCTTTCCTGATCTGCATGTGAATGTCCTTGTGTAGGTGTTTTACTTTTTCCGTGAGGTATAGTGATGGGCGGTTGAAGTCTTTCACCCATCCTTTTAGGGATTCTCTCGTCTGTCTCAGTTTGCGGTATGACTTAGATAGGTCCTCGTTCCACCATGGTTTAGATGCTTTGCTTGGGCGTCTGTGAGGTACGGATCTTTTGGCTGCTTTTTCCACCATTTTGTGGATCAGGGTGGTGGCTTCCTCTAGTGATTCGGGTGATGCTGTGCATTGGTCTGCATTGAGTAATTCACCCTTCAGGCTTTCGATCTTTTGGGCATTGTGGGCTAACTCATCTGTGAGTGCCTTTGTGAACTCTTCTTTACTGGCGTGTTTCCAGTTTAGTTTGGTTTCACATGGGTTTATGACCTGTTCTCTGGGTGGGCCCAGTTGGAGATTGTGGCATGGTGGTCTGATAGACAACCGATTTCCATGTCGATATAGTGACCGGAGATGGCCCCAGCTCCGTTGGCTGCGGCATTGGAAAAGGTAAGGTCAATCACTGATGTGTGGCCATTGTTGTCTTCCCGTGTTGGTACAAATGGTTCGTTGCATAGGGTGAACATGCCCCCTTCGAGCCATTCAATAGTTTCCAAGGTTCTTTGGCACAGTGTTTCGATCCAGTCATCCCAGTCTGGATGGCGGATATTCCAGTCACCCATGAGGATGGTTGGAATGTCCGTGTCCAACGTGGTCTCTGCCAGTCTTTCCACCATGTATTCTTTTCTCTGATTTGCTGCAAGCGTTTTTTGGTTGTAAATATTTATGAGTCTAACTGGTTGTTGCGTAGAGCCGTTCCTTTTTACATCTAGGACCATGTAGTCAAGGTCTGATGCTATGTCGTTCCTCAAAGTTAGTTCTATGTTAGCATCTTTCCGGTAGTATGCTATTGTTCTGGGTCTGTCACCTTCAGCGATAGGTTGCTTGGTTTGCCACCCCTTGAGGGCGACTGAAATGTAAGTGTTGTTCACTTTGTGCCACCAGGGCTCCTGAACTAAGAAGATGTCGATGGCTGGTTTGTTGCAGTTAGCTATGTTGTGCATCGTGGCTTGTGTGGCCGCATTTGAGTGGTTGACGTTTAGACTGCACACCATCAGTGTGGTTGCTATTTTGGTTTGTCGATTCATTGAGTTTGCCCTTGGAGTTGGCTCAACAGTTCAATTACCATACTATCATCAGTTGGTTTTGGCTTCGCACGGGGGATCTTTATTGGCAGGATTGGAGCTACTCCCCCCCTGGCTCTTGCACTGATCATTTTGGCAGCCTGTCAGGGCACACCCACCTGACCCCGCACTGCACCCTGTGCCACACGGCACTACTCCACTATCACTCCCCGTCTCTCCTTCCCCATTTTCCCCATTTTTCTCTATTTCTATTCTATGGTCGATTTCCTTTTCTCCATGTACCACTACATACCTAACCCTGCCCCCCCTGATTGCCACATGTGCCGTGCACACTCCTGCCTACCGAGCGGCCACCTCTGGGATCTCCTGCAGAGACACCCAGGGAGGTGCGGCTGTGTGTAGAGATGACATGGCTTCCTCCATGTGACCCTAGCCGCATGTATATAATAGTAGTGCCTGGGGTGGGAACAGAAGAAGCAGCCTTCTTCTCAACTTCCCACTTCAGGTAAGTACCATAGCTTTTCCCCTTTAATGATAATTCAACTTCCCACTTCAGACTAAGTGGTCGGGGACACACCCCGCGATGGGATCGCCGCTATGCACAGCCGCTATTCGTCCCACCGAGTCCTGCACGCAGGGACCTCGCCGCTTTCGGAGCTGTCCCTGACACAGCCGAGGCCTTTTGGGCCTTGGGTGGTTGCTGTTGACTCAGTATTTTGCTCAGGTCTTGGTCCGAGAGACCAAAGTCTGGGGGGTCGTCTGGTGTGGTTTGGGCAGGGACTGTTTCTTGCTTACCTTTCCCTTTTTTCTTTGTCAGTTGTTCAGTTGGCAGGGTGTGTTTTGGCATTGGCGTGTTTTGGCGTTGGCGTGTTTTTCGGCGCTAGGGGTAGTCCCATGCGACCTCTCCTGGCTCTGCAGTCCTTGTGTGAACTTTCGTGTTCCCCTTTGCAATTGACGCAGTGGTGTTTGGCATTCTCGGGGTGAGACTCGGTTTTGTGGTCTTTCGTGCCACATTTCAGGCACCTTGTCTGGTTGCAGTTGGCCATGTGGTGGGCAAGCATACCACACTTACTGCATGCATATACCTGTACGCAGTCCTCATAGGGTGTGATTGTGCATCTGGTGTTAAAAAGAAAGACCGACTTCAGACTCAGCAATGTGTCCCTGTCTTTTTTGTTAGAAAGGTCAACTACGATGGATGCAAAGTTCTTAGCACGAATTGTTTCCTCTGTACCAAGCCACTTTGGTGGTCTCCAGTACTTCAGGTCTTTGTACTGTGGTACATAGGTGCACAGTTCTTTGTGGACCATTCCGGGTGTTATCGGTTCGTTGTTGCTGTGGGCAGGAATCTTGTTGATCTTTACGCAGTAGTGCTCCTGGTCAGGTAGGGCCGAGATTACTTTGTGTTGGGTAATGGCAGCTGCCATCTCGTGGCCGTAGGTGATGAGGTCCGAGGCTTTGCACGTCGGGGCAGTAGTTATCTTGATGTTTCCCACTAACGAGTATCCTACAGCCATTACTCTTAGATAGTGGGGTGCATTTTTCTTTTCCAGAATGTTGTTGATCTTCTTTCTCGTTTCAATGCTGTTTGGTTGGTCGTCTGGTTTGATCGGAGGTCTCACTTGGATGACGAGGCATCTCGGGTCAGCTGCGGGACTGTTGCCGGTGTCGTTCAACGGTGCGTTGAGCTGGTTGGCGGCCAAGGTTGTATTTGATCTGGGTGGTGGTGGGGTCTTAGCTGCCACGTGTGCCCAAGTTGTGTTGGGGGTTGACATGGGGGCAGCGATGGTCACTGTGTCTCTGTGTGGGGGGGTATGCTGAACAGTATGGCCTATTTCTAGACACTGAATCCTTTCAGTCAGTTCTGTGAGTTTGGCATTGACAGTGTTAAAATTGTCAGATTGGGACTCAGCGGTGTCTGGCTTTTTGTTATCGGTGTCTAACTCCGATAGCATGTTCATCCAGCTTTTAAGATAGTGTAAGTGGTGCCATAGGTCCATTTTTCTGGCTTCCATCAGTCTGTCAAGGGTGTCTTTCATGCTTTCAGTGACATTGTCGATGCAACCGCAGTTGTCGTCTGTGAGGTCTGCTCTGTGCCACAAGGGGGTGGCCTGCATTTCTTCATCCATTGGGCCATGTAAGGATGTCTGGAGAGTATACAGGTCTGTCCATCCGGGGGTCAAATGGGTCTGTGGATTGTTGGTAACAGGTTGTCCTCCTAGGTCCGAATTTTGATGTTCAGCCATGGTGGCGGTTGGGGGGTAAGTTGGTGGTTAGCAGGGAGTATAGGAAGGTGTGTGTGTGTGTCTTTTTAACAAGACGACGTTCACCTCTCTTGTCGAGGTGGTGTCACGTGAATGTACATGCAGATGTAATTATTAGTCGGGCTAGCCGCACTGCCACGTACAAACGCGGCCACAGGGTAACAAAATAGAGTACAACAACAACTACTACTTAAGATACTAGGGTGCCGGAATCGCACATGTGGATCCAGTACTTGAATTATTCAAACACGTCGGTCCTTTTCTTTGGCACCAATTTTTCTTTTCTCTACACTCAGATGACATGGCAGAATTCTTCGTTTGGCTCCCTCGCACCCCAACTGGCAAGTATTAGTCAACAGTCCACCAGATACATTTGTACTACTGTGTCCACCGCCTGAGTGGACGCCAACAAGTTGGACCCACCGGTAGTGTTCTCTATTAGGTTTCTATCGGTTTGGGCATTCAGTTTACGGTGGTGGGCCGGTTTTCACGATACTCAAATGATCTCTGAGCAATTACCCATGTTGGATATTAACCTTGTTCTTAATAATGGTAGTTTGCCATTCTTATTCTGTCCTTTCTAACTTATGTAAGTGATCCTATAATGTCTGCCAAGATGCTTCAAGTTGGGTGCGATGGGCTTAGCGCTTGCGAACTGACTACCTCTATCATTTACCATTAATAGGAGCGTACACTGCTCTATCGATAGCACGTGGTGGCATCTGACCAATATGGCAGGAGAATGATAGTTATGTAAGGGATTCTTGAGCATAGATAGCATTAGCAAATCGTACCCCTGTAGCTTTTTGCATGTTACAGCAAGGTGCAAAAAAATCGACGCGCCCAATTTGGATGAATGTCCGTGCAGGTCATGTGATAGTCATGTGATTATCCACAAATGGCAGAAAATAAATGATGATCGACTTGCAGTTTCCTAAATAGGATTGATCACATGACCTTATCGACCATTCATCCAAATCTGTTGCGCCGTTTGTTTTGCATCTTGCTGTAAGCACAGCGTGTTATTTACCCGAGAATGCGCGCGCTCACGCGTACGATTTCATTCCCATTACCTTTTTAGTTTTGCTCTATTTAAGGGCAATCTCAACACCCCATTCATCTACTCGCGGGACTACTGATGGGCTTTCTTCGTTCTGGCCTTTTGTACTCATTGATCGCATGTATCCATCAGATGATCAATAGTTCGGATTGGAATCCTCAGCCAGACACCGTGCTTCGATCACCTGCTTGGCAGTATGCGAGAGTGGGCTGAATTGAAATCGTTATGAGCGTTTGTTCGGGCACTAGCAGCCGTGTGTTCAATGAATCATTACACTGCCTTGTCCCACTGCGGTATAAAGCTCACAAGCTGGGTGTTCAAATCTTCATTGTGCCTGCATGATCTCCGTCACGATGGCAGCCGCTCTCGTCAGCTTTATCCTCACGCAAAGCATCCATGCCGCACCGATCTCTCAACATCCCCCACCCAACAGTACAGCCTTCTCCATAAATTACTCGGATGCGTGTAACGATCTGCGCCACTGTCGGACTATGTGGAGCATAGTATACAGCTGCCTCCTTACGATATTCGCTTGTGTTTGGACAGCAATTCATCCAGATATGCCTAAGCAATATTCGGCTTGGTCGTTTGGGATAGGTTCTCGTATCTTTGAAATGAGTTTGACATTGATTTCGCCGGAGCTGGCTGTTTGGGCTGCATGGACTGAGTTCTCCGAGGCACGGAGAATATCAAAAAAGTGTGCTGGAATTCAAGGTGGGGTGCTGAATTCAATTCAGTTGAAGCCCTGACATCGATCTTTCACAAGGATGGACATTCACGCATTCATATTTTGTTGTTATGAGTGGCTTCTTCGACTCTTCCAAACAAAATGCAGTGAAGCCAGATGAAAATGAAGATCCTTCTACTCTGTTTGAGAAATACCCCGGCATAATCGACAAGTCGGGAGGTCAGAGAAAGGTCGCAGTAACAAGGGAGGGGGTCCTCGACAAAAGCAAAGGCAACTTTTTTGCAAAGTCCATTGTCGTCCTCCAGCTACTGTGGTTCGCCACTCAGTATGTTGGACGGTGGGCAAGTCATCTACCCAGGTCACAACTGGAAGCGATGACTCTTGCTTATGCGGCACTTAGCATCCTTGTTTATGCTTTGTGGTGGCACAAACCGCTGGATGTCCATTTCCCAATCTGTGTGACAGAAGAGGCTCACCCCGATTCCCCAAATCCCGATGCTATCACCGATCAAGCACTGCCCAAAATGGAGAACACGTCCAATCCAGCGTCCCCTCCAGCAGATACCATTGAGCCAAGTTCCTTGTGGATACTCGTAGTCACTGGTATCATTTTTGGTGGGGTTCATTGCCTCGCATGGTCATTTCCATTTCCGACGCGTGCAGAGACACTTTTGTGGCGTATTTCTGCAATAATCATCACTGTGGGTCCTGGCCCTTTCGCATGGGGCATGGCAAGATGGGAAAAGAAGGATTACTTCAGCGGGAGATTGTTTGGAGGTTCCACCATGCTGTTGTATCCTGTTGCTCGGGTTATCCTGTTCACTCTCACATTTACGTCTTTGCGATCTCCACCCCGCGATCTTTACCGAACTACATCCTGGACGTCCTTCATTCCCCACTTAGAATAACATAATCGTAGACACATAGTATCATTGCTCTGCGTAACGAGAAATAATAAGACTCCAGTATTGGGACATAAATGCACCAGATGCGCTCAGCACAACTATCCGGCACCATCACCACAAACGCACCGATCAAATGAGACTTGACGAGACTTCTTGCCATACTATGTCTGTTTGTCCTTGCCTATCCTCTTTCTAACTAACCACCTATCGACTCCAACGTCCTTCACCGTCAGCATGAAAGGCCACTCCTAAGGTCAACCCAGATAGTCTGGATGCAATGAAACTGCAGGAAGCACCGGATCTAATGTGCAACGGCTGAGTGAATATTGGTTGGCCGGCTCGGTAGTGCGAGCTCGTCATCGTTATTATTTTGTAGCTCAAAGTTCGGATGGTAGATTGAGAGGTTGAGCTGGACTTCAAAACCTCGATGAAGGCGGTGTGAAAGTAGACTCGTAAGAATGCAACTCATAGCTTCAGACGAAACCAGGATCGGAAAGGCTGAACGTTGTGACGAGCTATCATCCCTGGGCAAAGGCTCGAGACAAGGAAGAGTCAGTCGTCGCAAGGCCCCCATTCCGAGTCCAGTGCATCGAGTCCGAAATCCGAAATATGGACACAGTAGCGTGCGCAATGTGAATCGGTGTGGATAATTTTTGGCCTGTCGAAATTTGACGAGCTTCTGTAAACCTTTGGTTGCACTGGAATCAGCTTCGATATTGAGCAATGCTACTTACCATATGTTGACAAAAGGAATACCATCCAACTTCTCCACGCTGTCAAATGAATGAATTAGTCTTGGGCCTTGTATGTCGCAGGCTCCACTCCGCTGATAGCCCCGTCCACCCTAGATGGGACGACAGAGAAGGGATCAATTGGGATTCATCCACTGAATTGGCATTGGGGGTGTCCCCTCCGTAGCGCTTGCATCGGAGTACATATGCCAACAGTCTGCGTTGGAGAAATTATGTCAGTTTAATGGGCATGTAAAAAGCAGGACGATAATTATGAATTGGATGGAGTGCTGTGAAAAGAAATATAGGAGGATGGTGTGGACGCGGCATAAAATGTGGCATTCTCTGTGTACTAGGTATGGTGGAGCAAGCAATGGGGGATGAATTTTGGCGTACATATGCAGCGATTTTCGCTCCGACAACATTTCGCTTGTAAAATGGACCAAGAGATCGTCGAGACCACACCAGCAACGCAGAGGCGGTCATCTGTTGTAGCAGATAGAGTGGTTCAAAGTTGAAAATCTGAGTTGAGCAAAGCAAGATTTATTGAAACTCACCCGCTCAAAACGCCCGTCACCGAAAGGCCGCCACTGGCACTTGGCACTTTGCTGTCGCCCCTCGGCTGTCCGGCGTCGTTACCTTTGTTCCTTGCCCTTGCACCACCTGAAGTCGTTGCCATTGTTCCTTCCTCCTACCTTTACTCCCTTCTCAGGCTGCTTGTCGGTCAGCGCCTTCGAGGCGTTGTGTTTTCTTCCCTATAAATAATGGGTGTTGGATACTGCGTTGCGTAACGATTAGAGCACATACTGCAGTACTAATCACATTTCAAACCATCCGTCGCTGCAGGAAAAGCTGGCAGGCCTGAGATGGGAGACTCGCCGGAGAAGAACACCGGAGGCTGAGCTATTGAATTGAGCCTTCTCCACACCGAACAGCCACGAGCGGGTGTTGCCTTGCGTTGGACAATGGAGGCGACAGAACTCTCTACCGGAGTCCTCAAGGTGGTAGTGACATGAGTGTCTTTCAAGTGTCCTACTGCCCTTGCATCGAACCCTTTTCCGTTCAGCTGCTCTCCAATTGCAAGAAGAAGCGGGCCTATACTACTTGGTGAACAACTCAATTGCTGCAATTCAAACCAAACCATGTTAACGCGGTAGACACTGCTACATGCACGCATTTTGGGCCTTTCCGACGCTTAGCTTCATATTCAAATACGTCCCCGCAATAGGGTTTGGACACTACCAAATAAAGTCTAGACCAGTGTCTAGGAAGCGATGTCGATTCTTACCCCGCTATGTCTCTATCATCCGCTTTGCGATACAGCGGCGCATAGGTGATCCTAGAATTCGTGATGATTGAAGCGATTTACGAGTCGGTGCTTGTGTCTCACGTTGCTCAAGTTGCCCTCGCGCTTCCTGTGAGTTTACTTGCTGTGGAAAAAGACATTTTATGATTACTCCATTCCCACCAAGATGAGCAATCTTGATTAGCACGGCTTGCCATGTATCTTGATGTTCCTCCCATCGTTACACCGTAGCGTACGTGAGAGTTTACATGATGGGAGTAGTATCGTCGGCACTTTGTGTGACGTAGGATGGTGCTGGTTGCGTCGCCGAGGTCAGAAACCATGCTGGAGCACAAGAAGTGGAGCGATAAGCTGGATGAGTCCCACTATTCATTTCGGCGACACGCGCACTGGACACGCTGTCCGAACATAACACCCAGGCTCGAATGTGTTGCCAAGGTAACTCTGCGGGAAAATACTAAGCACGCTTCCAACTGGTGAGCTACTATATACTACCATTGCGGCCGGCGTTCAGAACGCCATAGCAATTTGCTCTGACAAGTTGACCGTATTTTAATTTGATTACCCGGAATGATTCATACTTGCCTTCTTGTGGCTGGTTGACACTCGCCAAGACATTGATTTACTTCCCCGGAGTGTTGGTGCTAGCCGACTGAATTCACTGGCCCTCATATGTATGACAACCCTTGAATTATTGATTTGCTCGTTGAGCTTTTGTGGGAGGGTTTGACATAACCGTCAAACTCGGCCAATTGAATTCGCATACTGAGCAAGTCTTCAGGGGTTGGTGTCATTCGTTTGAACGAAGCACCAAGTAAAGTACTCTCTCACATCATCAAGTCGCTAATTGGCATTTTCTCGATGAATCTCAACACTTGAAGGACAGACAAATATCGCGTAATACGAACAATCTCCTACCCAGAACTTTGACAAGCTGCGCGGCGAATAACTCGATTGCTGCGGTCAGTATGGAGTGCACTGATTCACTTGGCTGTGACACTATAAATGGACGTCCTGTACTGTACTCATGCGCCAGTCATCTTGTGGTACGTTGATGGAACAAGAGACGCCTTATGAAGTTTGATAGGTAAGTGATGTGTATTCCAGACAAATAATGCATCCCAATAACACGGCCCCTGTATAGCGTGCCGCATGCGGGCCAGTCTGGAATCCAGTCGATACGCCGAAGGAAATGGAACGAAACCTGCATTGGCGATCCTGGCGTCTTGCCTGAGGTATCTGGGTAAGTGGCAGCCTGGCAGGCCTAGGTGTTTTCTCCGCTGACATCGGATGTCCAGATTCTGCTCGCTAACAATCGTCGATGATTCTCGATCGCCTATGTCTCTCGACATTTGTGGAGTATACACACGCATTCCGGCGTGTGCTCTTGCGCCAATTCGTTCACCTACTAGTTAAAATGGGGTGCCAGAATCGCACATGTGGATCCCGTCCGGCACCAGTACTCGAGTTATTTCGAACCCCTATGTCCTTTCCTTTGGCACCAATTTGCGATTCTTTTCTCCACACTCAGATGACATAGGCAGAATTTTTCGCTTGGCTCCTGCTGGCACGCGCCCCAACTTGGTGAGTATTAGTCAACAGTCCACCAGATAATGTCTGTACTACTGTGTCCACCACCTCGATACCATATGCTGAGTGAGACACCAACAAGTCGGACCCACCGGTAGCAGTCTTGCCATCCGGGGAGTGGTCTCTCTTAGGCTTCTATCGGTCAGGCATTCTTATTCTGTGACTTGTGTAAGTGATCCTATAATGTCTGCCGAGATGCTTGGGTGCGATGGACTACACTTTGGGGCGATTTATCCCCTCTATCATTTACCATTAGGAGGGGTATACATTGCCCTATCAATAGCCATCTGACCGATATGGCAGGAGAATGATGGTTATGTAAGGAATTTTTGAGCATAGATAACAATGGTACCCTTGTGGCTTTTGCATGTTACATAAGCACGAAATGTGTTATTTAGATGGTATTTCATTTCCGAGAATGCGCGCGCTCATGCGATACGAATTACCTCTTTAGTTTTGCTCTCTTTGAGGGCACCTCTTCGGTTCACCTAACACCCCATTCATCTGCCCGCGGGAGTACTGATGGGCTTTTTCTGGCCTTTTTGAACTCGCTGATCGCATGTATAAGTATATCCAATTAGACGATCAACAAAAGTTGGTTCGGATTGGAATCCTCAACTAGACACCGCGCTTCGATCACCTGTTCCCCTGGCAGTATGCGAGAGTGAGCTGAATTTGAAATCCTTACAAATGTTTGTTCGGACACTAGAAGCCGTGCGTTCAATATACTGCCTTGTCCGCTGCGGTATAAAGCTCACAAGCTGGGTGTCCAAATCTCCATTGTGCCAGCATCATCTCCGTCACAATGGCAGCCGCTCTCATCAGCTTTATCCTCACCCAAAGCATCCATGCCGCACCGATCTCTCAACATCCCCCACCCAACAGTACAGATTTCTCCATAAATTACTCGGATGCATGTAACGATCTGCGCCACTGTCGGACTATGTGGAGCATGGTATACAGCTGCCTCCTTACGATGTTCGCTTGTGTTTGGACAGCAATCCATCCAGAAGTGCCTGAGCAATATTCGGCTTGGTCGTTTGAGCATGGTTCTCGTAACCTTGAAATGATTTGGACGTTGGTTTCGCCGGAGCTGACTGTTAGGGCTGCATGGACTGAGTTCTCCAAGGCATGGAGAATATCTCAAAAGTGTGCTGGAATTCAAGGTGGGTGCTGAATTCAATTCAGTCGAAGCCTGACATCGATTTTTCACAAGGATGGACACTCACCCATTCATATTTTGTTAATATGGGTGGCTTCTTCGACTCTTCCAAACGAAAACTAGTGGAGCCAGATGGAAATGAAGATCCTTCTACTCTGTTTGCGAAATACCCCGGCATAATCAACAAGTCGGGAGGTCAGAGAAAGGTCGCAGTAACAAGGGAGGGGCTCCTCGACAGAAGCAAAGGCAGCTTTTTTGCAAAGTCCATTATCGTCCTCCAGTTACTGTGGTTCACCACTCAGTATGTTGGACGGTGGGCAAGTCATCTGCCCAGGTCACAACTGGAAGCGATGACTCTTGCTTATGCGGCACTCAGCATCTTTGTTTCTGCTTTGTGGTGGCACAAACCACTGGACGTCCATTTTTCGATCGATGTGACGGAAGAGACTGAGCCCAATCCCTCGAGTTCCGAAGCCGTCACTGACCCAGTACTGCCCAAAACGGAGAACGCGTCAAATCCGATTTCCCCTGCAGCGAAGATCATGGAGGCAAATCCCGTATGGATATTTTTAGTCACTGGTATTATTTTTGGTGGGATTCATTGCCTCGCATGGTCATATCCATTTCCGACGCGTGTGGAGAGACTTTTGTGGCGCATATCTGCGATTGTTATTACTGTGGGCCCTGGCCCTTTGGGGTGGGCCTTAGTCAGCAGTACAAAGAGAAGCGAGTACCTTTTAACTCTCTTCATGCTTTTTTATGCTATTGCTCGGATTATCCTGTTCACTCTCACATTTACGTCTTTGCGATCTCCACCCCCCGACCTTTACCGAACTACATCCTGGACGTCTTTCATCCCCCACCTAGGATAGCATAATCGTAGACACATAGTATTGTCGCTCTGCGTAATGAGAAACAGTAAGACTGTAGTATTGGGACAAAATGCACCAGATGCGCCCATCACAACTATCCCGCACCGTCACCACAAACCCGCCGATCAAATGAGGATCCTCTACGAAACTTCTCGCCACACTATGCCTTTTCGTCCTTGCCTACCCCCCTTTCAACTAACCACCTATCCGCTCCATACGTCCTGCAGGGTAGCATCCATCGCCATAAATAGCCATTCCTAACGTCAACCCAGATAGTCTGAGGCAATAAAACTGCAGCATGTGCCGGATCTAATGTGCAACAGCTGAGTGAATATCGGCCGGCCGGCTTGGTAGTGTGAGCTCGTCGTCGTTATCATCTAGTAGCTCAGAGTTTGGATGATAAATTGTGAGGCCGAGTTGAAACGAGGAGGGGGAATACCATTCAAAGAAAGGCACTGTGAAAGTGTAAGGACGGGATTCATAGCTTCAGACAGAGCTAGGATCGGAAAGGCTGAACGTCGTGAACACCATCATCCCTTTACGAAGGCTCGAGACAAGAAAGAGCCAAAACACCAGTCGTCGCAAGGCCCCCCATTCCGTGTCCAGTGCATCACGTCCGAGACCCGGAATATGGACACAGCAGCATGTGTATCATGAGCTTTGGTGAATATTTAGTTGCACCGGAATCAGCTTCGATATTGAGCAGTCCCACTTACCGTACATTGACAAAAAGGAACGCTATCCAACTTCTCCGCGCCATTGAACTAGTCTCGAGCCCCGTGCGTCCCAAGCCCCATTCCGCTAGTAGCCCCATCCATCCTAGATGGATGGGACGAGACGAGAAGGGATCAAATGGAATTCGTCCACCGAATGCTGAGTAGGCATTGGGGGACTTCCCCTCCCGTAATGTTCGTATCGGGGTATGTATGCCAACAGTTTGCGTTGGAGAAATGATGTCAATTTAGTGAGCTGAAAAGAAGTTGTGGCGGGAGTGTGGCATAAAATGTGGCATTCTTTGTGAACTAGGTATGGTGGATGAATTTTGGTGCACATAGAGTGGTTTGAAGTTTAAAATTTGAGTCAAGCAAAGTAACATTTGTTGAAGAGACTCACCCGCTCAGAGTCAAAGCACCCATCATCAAAGGATCACCACGGGCACTTGGCACTTTGCTGCCACCCCTCTGCTGTCCGACGTCGTCACCTTCGTTCCTTTCTCTTGTGCTGCCTGACATCATTGCCATTGTTCCTTCGTCCTACTCCCTTAGTTTACTCCCTTCTCAGGCTGCTTGTCTGTCAGTCAGTGCCATCATTGCGCAATCGAGGCGTTATGTTTTCTTCCCGATAAATAATGAATGTTGGATCCTGCGGTGCATAATGACTAGAGCAAGTACTGCAGTTCTAATAACATTTTTTAACCATCGCTGCGGGAAGATGACTGGTCTGAGACTCTCAGTGAGACTCAGACGAACACTGGAGCCACTGAATTGAACCTTCGAACAGCCACGAGCGGAAGTTGCCTTTCTCCGACTTCGGTGGTGATCAATAGGCAGCAAACATCTGGGTATCTTATCGGTATCTTTCTGGCCTTGCATCAACTCCTTTTTCACTCCAGTTGAAAGAAGCGGCTCTGTACTAGTGCTTGCAATTTGAACCAAATTCCTATTGTCTCCATCATTCTATCACTTTAGTCGGTCGATCGACGCTGCTACGTGCACGTGTTTTGGGCCTTTCCGACGCTCAGCTTCATACGTCCCTGTATGACATCTTGCCGAGCACACCCGGGCATGGTCAACCTCCCTAATTCCATATGCTTTGGACACTGCCAAATAATGTGTAGACCATGTCTAGGGAGTGGTGTCACGGTCGATTCTTACCCCGCTATGTCTCAGATCTTAGTATTCATGATGATCGAGCGATTTGCGAGTTAGTGCTTGTGTCTCACGTTGCAATTTAGAGTTGAATGAGTCCTACTACTTCATTCGCGTGATACGCCCACTGAACACGCCAAGGTCCGAACATAATACCCAGGCTCGAATTCTTTGCCAATGCAACTCTGCGGGAAAATGCTGGCACACCCGCAACTTCTAGTGCAGCTAGGGTTCGGAACTCCAACAACAATATTTCGAAAGCCGCGAAATGGCGTAGCGCCGTCACATGGGGAATCAAATAATTCTGATGTAGAGCGTCGGCACGGCGCATTTTCCTGACAAGTGATAAGGTGGCCATATGTTATTTACATAATGAACTGATTTCCCGGAACATGTGCCTCGGCTGGTTAGACACTTGCCAAGACATTGATTTCCAAGCGCTAGCCGACTGAATTCATTGGCCTTCGTACGTGCGTACACAGCTCTTGAATTCTTGATTTGCTCATTGAACTTTTTTGGTAGAACCGTCAACGTCGCAACTCGGCCAATGGAATTCACTGGTCGCGCATGTCGTGCAAGTCTTCGGGGTTGATGTCATTCATTTGAACGAAGCACTCCACAAATAATGTACTCTCTCACATGCTGAAGCCACTAATTGGCATTCACTTCTCGTTTCTAAAGGCATCTCGCTCCGACCCTGCCCCCCCTTGCAACGAGTGTCATAAGAAAACCCCCTCGGATGTTCAAATTGTGGGTGTTTAACTGCAACACCTGAAGGACAGACACCCTTGTTCTTCACATCTAAGATATCGAACAATCTCTTAACCAGCACTTGACAAGCCGTGCAGCGAATAACTCAATTACTGCAATGATTATGGAGTGCACTGTCCAAAACTGAATCATTCACTTGGCTGTGGCATTATGGACGCGCCGTACTTATGCACCAGTCACCGCTGGGTAATCATCGATCAGCAAATATAATTGGCCCCTACAGTACTTTGATTACTTGTCATCCCCTACGCATGATGTGTGTCCCTCTGTACAACACATTCGCACTCAGCTCGCAAAGTGGCCGGGGTAGATAACGCGCTGGGAACAATTGACAACTTGACTACCTACATGGAACCTTGTGGTACGTTGATGGAACAAGGGACGCATTATGAAGTTTGATAGGTAAGTAATGCATCCCAATAACACGGCCCCTGGATAGCGTGCCACGTGTGGGATGGTCTGGAATCCAGTCTTGCATGAGGAATCCGTGTGCAGAGTGGCACGTTTTCTCTGCTGATAATTCTCGTTAATTCAGTCCGACTGGCACACGAGTGTATTAATCAGCGCGAAACTGACAGGTGTGCGAGCACTCACCGATCCCGTCATGAGTCCCATAGCATAATATTAAAGGGAAAATCCGAGGGAGGAAACACTGCTAAACCCCTGATGCATGGCAGGGCGTGCTCGTCAAGGTATGCAGCCCATGTTAATTTTCTATCCTCTGGAAAAATGATCACAACCGAATCGGACTATTGCCGCCCGTCGGATTATTTGGCCATGCGTTCACCCTGTCCAATCTATCATCGGATGTCCAGAGTCTGCTCGCTGACAATTGTCGACTCTCGATCGCTCATGTCTCTCGCCATTTGTGGAGTATACACATGCATTCCGACGTGCTCTTGCCTTCGTTGACCTACTAGTTAAGATAGGGTGCCAGAATCACACGTGCGGATCCCGTCCGGCACCAGTCGAGTTATTCGAACTCCCCTGTCTTTTCCTTTGGCACCAATTTACGATTCTCTTCTCCACACTCAGATGACATAGGCAGAAATTTTCGCTTGGCTCCCATGCGCCCCAACTTGGTATTAGGTACAATCCGCCAGATATGTCTGTACTACGTGTCCACCGCCCCCATACCACACGCTAGGTGGGATACCAACAAGTCGGACCCACCAGTAGTCTCGCCTCTGGGGAGTGTTCTCTCAGGGTTCTATCGTTCAGTCATTCGGTGGTGGACTGGTCTTTACGGTACTCTGGGTAATTACCCGTGTTCCATGTTAACCTTGTTCCTAATGGCAGTTCACCTTTCTTATTCTGTCCTTTTATAACTTATGTAGTCTGTGGAGATACTTGGGTAGGATGGGCTCAGCGCTCGCGAACCGACTACACCTTGGGATTGTATTGCCCTCTATCATTTACCATTAGGAGGAGCGTGCACTGCTCTATCGATAGCGTGTGATGGCATCAGACGGATACAGTAAGAGAATGATGGTTATGTAATGGATTCTTGAGCATAGATAGCATTAATAAATCCATGTTAAAGCACGCAGCGTGTTATTTCGATGATATTTCGTTTCCGAGAATGCGCGCACGATACGATTTCATTTCTCATTACCTTTTTTGCTCTGTTCAAGAGGATCTGAAGGCAACTCGCATGTCGGTTCGCCCAACATCCCATTCATCTGCCCGTCAAGGGGAGTACTGATGGACTTTCTTCCTCACTCAGAAGTTCTGGTTATTTGAACTCGCTGATCGCATGCAGTACCCAAATTAGATGATCAGTTCGGATTGGAATCCTCAACCAGACACCCCGCAATGGGGTTGCTCCGATCACCTGCTCCCCTTGCAGTATGCGAGAGTGAGCTGAATTTGGAATCCTTACGAACGTTTGTTCGGACACGTACTAGAACGCGTGTGTTCGATGAATCATTACACTGCCTTGTCCCGCTGCGGTATAAAGGTCACAAGCTGGATGTCCAAATCTTCATGGTACCCGCATCATCTTCGTTAACTTACAATGGCAGCCGCTCTCGTCAGCTTTATCCTCGCCCAAAGCATCCATACCGCACCTATCTATCAACATCCCCCACACAACAGTACAGCCTTCTCCATAAATTACTCGGATGCCTGTAACGATCTGTGCAGCCGGACGATGTGGAGCATAGTGTACAGCTGCCTCCTTACGATATTCTCTTGCGTCTGGACAGCAGTGCATCCTGATGTGCCTACGCAATATTCGGCTTGGTCGTTCAGGGAGGATTCTCGTAACATTGCAATAATTTTGACGTTGGTTTCGCCAGAGACGTGTGTTGCGGCTGCATGGGAGTTCTCCAGGGCTTGGAGAATATCTCAAAGCTGTGCTGAAATTCAAGGTTTGGGCGCGCAAAGCTCAATTCAGTAGATGCCTAACATCGATTTTTCACAAGGATGGACATTCACCCATTCATATTTTGTTACTATGGGTGGTTTTGTCGACTATTCCAAACGAGAAATAGTCAAGCCAACCAAAGATGAAGATCCTTTTACTCTCTTGGAGAAATACCCCGGCATAATCAACATGTCGGGAGATCAGAGAAAGGTCGCAGTAACCAGGGAGCAGATCCTCGACAGAAGTAAAGGTAACTTTTTTGCGAAATCCGTTGTCGTCCTCCAGTTACTGTGGTTCACCACTCAGTATGTTGGACGGTGGGCAAGTCACCTACCCAGGGCACAACTGGAAGCGATGACGTTTGCTTATGCGGCACTTAGCATCCTTGTTTATGCTTTGTGGTGGCATAAACCGCTGAATGTCCATTTCCCAATCTATGTGAGAGAAATGACTCGCCCCAATCCCCCAAATCCCGATGCCATCACCGATCATGTACTGCCTAAAACAGAGAACGCGACTTCCCTTACAGCGAAGATCATGAAGACAAATCCTAGTTGGATATTTCTTGTCACAGGTATCATTTTTGGTGGGGTTCATTGCTTCGCTTGGTCATTTCCATTTCCGACGCGTGCGGAGAAACTTTTGTGGCGCATTTCTGTGATAATTATTACTGTGGGCCCTGGCCCTTTAGCCTGGGCCGTGGAAAGGCAGGGAAAGGATGAAGGGATAATCATGCTCTTTTTCTTTCTCTTCATGCTTATTTATCCTATTGCACGGGTTATCCTGTTCATTCTCACATTTACGTCTTTGCGATCTCCACCCCCCAACTTTTACCGAACTACATCCTGGGCGTCTTTCATCCCCCACCTAGGATAACATGCATAGTATTGCTGCTCCGCATAACAAGACCCGATCTAGTATTGGGACAAAAATGCACCAGATGCACTCATCACAACTATCCCGCACCATCATCACAAACCCACCGATCAAATGAGGATCCACTACGAGACTTCTCGCCATACTATGCCTTCTTGTCCTTGCCTACCCCCCTTTTAACCAATCACCTATCGACTCCGTACGTCCTTCACCGTCGGCATGAAAAGGCTACTCCTTCTGAGGTCGACCCTGTCGGATCTAATGTGCAACGGCAGAGTGAATATTGGTCGGCCAGCTCGGCAGTGTGAGCTCATCGTCGTTATTATCTTGTAGCTCAAGGTTCGGATGGCAGATCGAGAAACTGAGTTGAAAAAAAGACTGGAATATCCTTCAAAGCCTCATGAAGGCGGTGTGAAAGTGGACTTGCAAAAACGGGATTCATTGTTTGAGACGAAACTGGATCGGAAAGGCTGAACATCGTGACAAGCCATCATTCCCGAGAAAAGGCTCGAGAGACGGGAGAGTCAGTCGTTGCAAGGCCCCCGTTCCATGTCCAGAGCATCAAGTCCGAAATCCAGAATATGGACACAGCAACGTACGCGATGTGAATCGGTGCGGAATATTTCTGGCCTATCGAAATTTGTGCGTGTGTCATGAGCTTCGGTGAATATTTGGTTGCACCGGAATCAGCTTCGATATTGAGCAATCCCAATTGACAAAAAGGAACACTATCCAATTTCTCTGCGCTATTGAATGAATGGACTGGTCTTGGGCCTTGTGCGTTGCGGGCCCATTCCGCTAGTAGCTCCGTCCACCCTGGATGGATGGGACGACACGAGAAGGGATCAAATCACCGAGTAGGCATTGGGGAACTTCCCCTCCGTAACGTTCGTATCGGAGTACGTATGCCAACAGTCTGCGTTGGAGAAATGATGTCAGTTTAGTGAGTGTGTAAAAAACATAGTGCCAGGCCGAGCTCTCCTAATAGAAACAGAATGGCCACCAAACCTCCCCATCAAAATCCTAGCTGTGTATGCCCCAAACCCCCAAAATGAAAACTCTCAATTCTGGAAAGTCCTAAGCCAGAAACTCGACAACACCCCCATTGACTTCATACTTGGGGACTTCAACATGGTCGAAGAAGCCCTTGACAGACTCCCCCCCCATCCCGACCCTGACACAACAGTAACAGCCTTCCACAACTTCTCCTCCCTTAACGGCCTCAGGGACGGATGGAGAGAATCACACCCGGCCCCCGAAAGAAACTTTACCTTTGGCCATGCCACAGGGTCCTCCCTCTCCAGAATAGACAGAATCTATGCAACAGATACAATAAGAGAACGAGCTTACACTTGGGAAATAACAAACCCAGACCTACCAACTGTGGACCACCAACTTGTCTCTGTGGAACTAAGAGATGCCTGGGCCACAATAACCGGGAAAGGCCGATGGGCCATCCCCCTATACCTGACTAACAACCAAATTTTCCTAAAAGAGGTTGAGGCCATTGGCAATGAGGCCCTCAACAGAATAGCTGGAAACAACAACACCCAAAACACCTTCCAGGAATTCATATCAGCAGTAACCCAACTTGCTAGAAAAACCACCAAAATAAAAGCCAGAAAACTCAACACCGAACTGAGGCGCCTCATCCAGAGGCACGATAAAGCTATGCTGAGACTAAGCTCCGCAAACGAAACTCTTGCTGAGATGACTCAAGTACAAGTACAAAACCTAACAAAAAGAATAAACGAAATTGAGAAACTGAAACTGGCCAAATTGAAAGCATGTACTGGTGCAAACAAAAGACTCCTCAGTGAAACTACCAATAAATACTGGTGCAGATGGGGAAAAGAAAACAAACCACATGACACGATCCCGGAACTGAAAATCCCGGAATCCATCCCACCATCATATACCTCCAACTCAGCTGAAATGTCCGACATAGCAGCCAACCACTACAATGCAGTCCAATACGGAGACCTGTCCACCCACCACGAGGAGAGAGAAACCTATATCCTAAACTCCACAAACACGATCCGGAACCACATCCCACCCGAAGCCCTCGCGACCCTGGCCACCCCACTAAGCCCAACAGACATCGAAACAGCACTAAACCAGTCGCCCAAAGGGAAAGCCCCAGGCCTCAATGGCATACCCACCAAGCTATACAAAAACTTAAACACAAGGTGGAAGAAAAGCGAGAATGAGAACCAGGGCTTCAATGTAGTAAAACTCTTAACCTGCTTAGCCAACAACATTGAGAAAAATGGCACCCCCTGCCCCCAAATCTCCAAAGGGTGGCTCTGCCCTATCTATAAAAAAAAGGATAAAAGAGAAATAGAAAACTACAGACCAATAACGGTTCTAAATGCCGAGTATAAAGTAATTACGACAGCCATCATGAATAAACTATCCCCCATAGCCCCTTTCCTCATCCACAAATGCCAAGCAGCCTTCATCAAGGGCCACAGCATATTTGACCAGATTGACCTAGTCAACCACATGACGGACTTATGTGAACTAACCGGACAAGACAGTGCGATAATCGCACTTGACCAGGAGAAAGTGTATGACTTCATCCAACACGACTACCTCTGGAAGGTTATGGACGCAATTGGCATCCCACCCACTCTCACTCAAACAATCAAAAACCTTTATTCCACTGCCAAAACAAAAGTGATCCTAAACGGCATGATAAGTAAAGAATTCCCAATAATAAGGGGAGTCCGCCAAGGCGACCCCCTATCATGCCTCCTCTTCAACTTCGCCATAGAACCCCTAGCGATTGCCCTCAGAGAATCCCAAGCTCTCAAAGGCCTAGAAATCAATACCCCCTCACTCTCACAAAGGGTAATAATCTCCCTCTTCGCTGATGACGCCGCTGTCTTCCTCTCCAAAGATGACGACCTAAATGCCCTGTTCTCCATGCTAAACCAATGGTGCATAGCATCTGGAGCCAAATTCAACTGCGAAAAAACTACGGTCCTCCCAGTTGGCTCACCAGAATTCCGCAATAGGGTACACAATGAGAGAACCATCAACCCCTCCTCAGATGACAGACTAGATGAATCAATAACCATCCTAAAAGACGGTCAAACTATGAGATACCTAGGGGCCCAATGTGGGAACAAACCCAATCATAAAGACCCCTGGCCCACAATCATAACAAACATCGAAAAATCCCTCACCCAATGGAACAAAACCCACCCAACCATCGAGGGTGGGAATGACCCAATTCCACGCCCAGGCCCAGGGAATGCCGAAAGATGTAGAAAAACACCTAAACAGAAGAATCTGTGAATTCACATGGAACTCAGATAGCCCTCCCCCAATCAGTATGGATCAACTGAACAAACCGAAAACCCAAGGTGGCAAAAATGTCCTGAACTTACATGACAGAAACGAAGCAATCCACCTCATCAAGCTCCAAAAAATCCTAGACAGGTCACCCAACAGGCCCCCCACCTCAGATGCGGCCGAAGCCATCCTACTAGCCACCCTTCCTAAAAACCAAGTGCCCCGAGACCTAACACACCCCTTCATCACCGACCCCCTAGCCCAAAAGCCCTTCCTCAAGGCCCGGACCCACAACAAGAATATCCCAGCCGAACTCCGTAATACCCTAAATGTTGGAGCCAAATACAACCTCAGACTAGAACACCCGACAATCGACCTTGCCACCAAGCTCGACCTATCGGCCTGGGCCCACCCAGGCCTAGAAAATTACCCTCCAATCAGCGACCGCTCCAAAACAGCTTCCTGCCTGAGAGCAACCCACAGTTGTAATCGCATCGGCGACCTAATCGCCCAAGTAGACCACCAAGAAAATCCGGACCACGACCCCGCTAAAAGAAGGTGTCCGTGCCCCCCTGCACGTCCTACTAACAGGCAGGCTGCAAAAACCCGGAAGCCTGCTACCAAACTGCAACGAAAATAATTACTAACCTCGACCCTCACTATAACCCACACAGTGACACGCACCTTCTCACCCTTCCGCCCCACCCCAAGGAACCAGTTAAACAATTCGCTGTCGGGAACCCAAAGGACATCAAGACCTTTCTCCCTTCTCCCCGGCTCTGCACCCTGCTTGATCACCATTACAGGGTATTTGGCAGAACCCCCCCAGCGACCCGTGATAATGCCACTTCTCAATCCCAACGACCTCACAACGAAGTAGTGTACACGGATGGGTCCTGCTCCCAAAATGGTGACACAAATGCGACGGCCGGCTTCGGTCTATGGTTTGGCCCAGATGACCCCCGGAACACTGGCAAAAGAGTCAATCCCCACTACCCACAAACCAACAACACAGCAGAAATGCTCGCCATTCACCATGCCGCCACCTTTGTACCCCTATCGTCCAACCTCCACATCAAATCCGACTCGAAATGGTGCATAAACACCCTTTGCAGCAACCTTGAATTCCTCGAAAATTCAGACTATGCATTCGCAAAAAACAGTTATATTACTAAACTGACCGTAAGCGCGCTGAGATCCAGATCCACCCCCACCTCATTTGAGTGGTTAAAAGGCCATGCAGGGATCCTTGGAAACGAAGAGGCAGACTGCCTTGCCGCAATAGGAGCACAACTGGACCCAGAACCCCTCCCTCCTGTAACCCCTCTACCCCCCTACATACTGAGTGGAGCCCGCCTGCACTCACTAAACCAATCTACAGCAACAAGACTAATTAGTAGATCCAGGTTAGCCAAGAAACTCACCCAAAGAACAATAATGACCAACAATATCACCAAAATCCAATCAGCCCTGGAGAACATGGGCAATGACCCCCCCTCCCACGACAGAATCTGGAAAAACCTGGAGAATAGTCGCAAGGAAATCTCACCCGAGATTCGAAACTTCCTATGGAAGCTGACCCATGGCTGCCTCAAGATTGGCGAATTCTGGGAAAAAATCCCGGGTTTTGAGCACCGTGGAATGTGTGCCCAATGCCAGCAAACAGAAACAATCACTCACATCCTATTTGAGTGCCCCCTCAACCATAGCAACTGGGTGTGGTCCACTGCCAAGGAAATCTGCAACCGAAGAAAAGTCACATGGCCCCCAGCCTTCAATACCTCACACGTGATGGCGGCCCCGAGCATTACGATAAAAAATAATAATGGCAACCCAAGGAAAGGCGAAACTAGACTGTTCTGCATCATAACGCTAGAATGCACATGGCAAATCTGGAAGGCCAGATGCCGGAGAGTCATCGACCCTGACCACCCGCAAACTACACTAAGAGAAATAAAAAATGCCATCCGTGCCACCCTCAATGACAAACTCCAACAGGACATCACCCTAACCAACAGTAAGAAATATGGGTGTAAGGC